CAGCGGTGATGGACGGATATATTATGCCGATTGCGTGGTCCCAAGCTCAGGTGTACCCGCCGCCTGCGCAAACCTGGAAGGTCATCACAAGGATGACACAAAACTTCATGTCAGCTAACAAGGTCACATCGGACAAGTGCTTCAACCTCTGGAGCAAAGAGCTTCTGTTTACACCGGTACTGGAAGGAGGAGTGGGGGCGAAAAATCCTGAGGCGATGCTTACCTGCTTAACAGCTAGAAGGATCGGGCTGGTACTCACGGAGACGAACCAGCTAAAGCGGGAGCTGATGCGCCGAGCAGCTGACCTGCCAAGGGGGGTGGAGACGTTTATGGCGCACGAGAAGCTGTTGAAAACCTGGGAGGGGAAAAGTCAGAGGTGGAAATTGGCTTGTGCAAACTTCATGCGATCTCCGTTAGCGGTATCCACGGAGGAACGAGAGACCAAGGAGCTGCTGCTGGAGAGAATCGCATTTAACAGGCATATTCTCTTGAAAGGTACCACGCCAGTGGGAGGGCAGAAAGCGGCGAAGCGGCTTTGGGATGTCAGGCTGGGCGATCTGGTTGGAAGAGATGCGGACGGGAGGGGGATGCTGAAAAGCCTTGAAACCCTAGAGAGGGAGTTGCGGGGGAGAGACTCAGCAAGTCTTGCGCTCAAGGCTTTTGCAGCTGCGCCGGAGGCCTGGAGGAATCAGCTCATTTCGGCTGTACTCCCGAACATGAGCTTTGCGGACGAATACGAGGTTGGCAGAGGGGGACCCCTACAGCTCCGGGCAAAACTGTTGGCGGAAGGAAAAGCAATTCCGCTGAGGTCGCTCAGAAAGTACTGGAAGCATGGCAACCGTGGACAGAACAGGCGGGAGAAATGGGCGAGTCGTTGGGGCGGAAGTATTGACTGGAAGCGGGCAGTTCAGATTCGGGAGTCACTTGTTACCCCGAGCCGGCCAAGAGATGTTCTGCTGCGGATCCACTGCCTTAATCTACAAGTAGGGGAGCGTCTGGAGTTTCTCAGCAGCAAACCAGTCTGTCCTCACTGTGGGAGTTTTGAGACACTGGAACACTGTCTTTTGGAGTGCCCGAAAACCCAAGGGGTGACTTCAGCGGTTAAAAAGGCGCTACGGATGATCAATCCAGGCAGGAAATGTGACTCGCTCGGTGATTGGCTGTTTGGGAAAGCCGAGTCCCAGTCAGCATTTCCGGAGGCTACACTGGTCGCGATTGCCCTCCATCAGCTATGGGCGGAAAGGTGCGAAAGGGCCTTTCGAGGCTGTAAATTCCGCACGCGAAGGGTATTGCGGAGAATTGAGTCGGCCCTCCGCATGCAAGTGAACGTTTACCTGCGTGCTTCTGCGACAAGGATGCACCAGTGTGGGAAGGAACAGCAAGACATGTGGCGGAAAATGACAGTGCAAGAGCGTGATCTTCTGAACCGTATCAGAGTGGTGGATGGCAAAGGTTGGAAGTGGTCCAACAGCTTCGCAGCAGTCTGGGGCAAACCTCGCAGGCCCCGGATCCATGCTTGAGGATCAAATATTCTGAGGCGGGCTCCCCTGTCTCTCATGCACAGTTACGACTGTTTATGCGTTGTACACTTGTGTTCTGGTGTATAATTAATATAAGCAAAAAAAAAAAAAAAAAAAAAATTCCCCACTTGAGTCATAACCACTTCGTCCGAAAAGGACAGGGGAGCGTGGATGGGGTCTGTCATCCAGCCCAGGGCGAGGGGGGCAATTTGTTCGGTTGGCATCTCCGAGATGGTGAACTGACAGCCCGCGTTTTGCTATTTGCTAGTATTGTGAAATACCAGTGCATGCCCACTGTCGGAGAGAAGTTATTTTCTGACCGCAGCAAATCACAGTCATCATACAGTATACCGAATTCTAACCCCGTAAACTTGACTCGGTCTGGATTCTAGACATGCCTTCGCGCCATGAAGGTTCTGAATTTTGGCAACGACAACAAAAACGAACACGCATTCCGCACTTTCTGTTGGTGGGCATGTCCCCCAACACCCTTTGGGCACCTTCAGTAGAATCTCTCAGGAACCCAGCGGAGTATTCGTGCTCATAAAGTGACCGGCCGACGTTTAGGTTAATGTGTTTTTACAGCGTGAATTTGGAAGGCAGGCCTGCTGATATCTGAAATCACCCAGCAGCCCAGAAATGGCTCAAGTCAAAATTGGGGAGACCCGTTTACATGTCCTGCATACCATTGTTTACATGTCCTGCATAAAGGACAAGAAGAATCCACTCGCTCTATCTGATCATCTGATGCTGCTTTCCAGACTGTTCCTCATTGCACCCTGCATTGTCACGCGTGACAAACGCACGGACAGAATTCAGTGCAGCAATTTCTGGACGATTCGTGTTTATGAGCAATATGGAAAATGAAGCAATCCCGCGAGCCAAACTTCACTGTTACACTTTGTTCTGGGTTGCTAGTACACAGTGAAACATCACGGTGTACTAGTATTGAGACATTGGTGGTGGTGACATCACGGTGAAAGGCAAAAAAGGGGTCATCTCTTTCCCCAGAGAGCACCTGAACACGCTTCCCTGCGCAAGTCACGACGGCATGACTACCGAATTCGCAGCTTCCCATTTGATTTGAACCCTTGTAAGTTGAGACAGTATCCCCACTGGTGGTACCGCGCCACTCGTCCGTCTAAAGGATGGCCGCGCTTTCACCAAATCGGAGAGTTATCTAGCATGCGTATACGTCACTGCTGGTTGGCAGACGACCTAAAGGGGTAAATTCTCAAAGGGTATTTTACTAAGTTGGCCTTCTTATCAGGAATGACCATCCCGCTCCGAGCGCTGGTCCACAAGCGTGCTTGTCTGACCTTCAGCCTGCTCTGATGCTCCATCTTCCGGACAGAGCCGCCGCATTGGGCATCTTTCAACGGTTGAAAGTAGCACGGTGCTACTACAGCACTTCCTACGGTCGTGGGAAGGAACAATAGTGCTAGAACTCCTTGGTCTATAATGTGGCCACCGGGAGTCACAGTTGAATCATTCAACAAAGGACCCAGAAAGGCCCACACAAAGGACCCAGAAAGGACCCACACAAAGGACCCAGAAAGGACCCCAATCGGCAGGGATTCAGACGTTTGATTTTTGCAATGCATCTTATCTCCCACTCTGATTGAATTACTGATAGGATAGTAACATCCTACTAGTACTAATATGACAATTCCCTCCGAGATAGGCACGAGTAGGCTCTTGGAGAGTCCTCAGCAGGAAACGTCTAGCCGTCCGCTCTCTGAGCGCGCGGCGGATAGCCATCACCTCTGTGAGAATGACTCGGGCAGCCCGGAGGCGTGCGAGCAGGACTGGGGGAGGCCGGGGTGGGATGAGGTGGTGGCGCGGGTGGTGGGCTCCGATGGGCACAACTGGCTCAAGTACAGCCAGAAGCAAGTGCAGCGCTCCAACGCCACCAGGTCAGCCTCGTTGACTCCCGTTGACTTGTGTTGACTCAACAGCAGTGTTTTTGGGATATTTCCGGACCCGTTTCAGACCCTTTTGGACTCCTGAAGGATTCTTAGAAGGACGGCGCTGCGTAGAGCACGCATTGTAATTTGGAAGGAGTCCTTTTGTTGGTTCTGGGAATGACCCTTCCAGGACCCTAACTTAGGGAACGGACCCTTCTCGGCTGTGTTTCGGACCTTCTACTTCCGTGTCGGTCTTGCCTTAACTCCGGTTGACTGTGTAGATCAGCTTTCCATTGTCCATTGTCAGCAAATCATATGTTTATCATGTGAGTGCAGAGCCATGTCTCAAATCCATCGCCTTTGTAGCACGGTGTCGTCGTGCTGCTTTTGTTTTTTTCGGAAACGTTCGGGTAGGATACAGTTGGGTCACATTTTCTGCTCTTAAAGTTTTTTTCTACTCAATTTTGGGATTTGGGTTCATTCCAAGTCTGGAAAGAGCCATGAGGATACATTCAGGACATACAGTTTTTGTGCGTCACATCTTACCCATCCTGAGGTGCTTGAGCGGTTAATCTACTCATCCAGCTCACAAACTCCTGCTCCTTAACTCTTTCCCCTGTATCACAGGTGCTACTACAATTGCTGAGCTGCCGGATTTTCTCATCTTTTCCTTCTCTCCCCCCCTCTCTCCTACAGGTGTTACTACAGGTGCGCCCGCTCTAAGTCCATACCGCGCTGCCAGGCCAAGAAGACCGTTGACATCAACTGCCGCAACGGCTCCGAGCCACTCTCCCCTGACTCTATCCAAGTCGCCTACAGCAACAGAATCCACAACCACCCCTTGCCTTCCAGACGAGCCCGCCCGCTCACTCGCCACTTCCTCCCCGTTACTATCCCCACCAAGCGGCTAAAACAGCGCTTTACTGACCTCCCTATCAATCACCCTAACAACCACCCTATTTCCCAACCTACCAACCGTCCCACCGGCCTCGCTACCAGCTGTCATACGAACCTCGCGGTTTCAGACAGTGCTGGCCTGGTGGAAGCATGGCAGAATGAGAGAATGGAAGTGAGTGCTGCTGCTGCTGCTGCACCTCTCAATAGTGGTGCGGCTGCTTTTGCTGCTGCTGCTGCTGTTAGTAATAGTGGCGCTGGTGCTGCTGGTACTTGTGCGGCTGGTGCTGCTGATGATGATGGTGCTGATTGTGGTGATGCTTATGGTGCTGGTGCAGCTGGTTCAGCTGCTGCTGGTGGTGCTGCTGGTGGTGCTGATGGTGGTGCTGTTGCTACTGGTGCTGCTGATGGTGCTATTGATTATACAGACTGGGCCGCAGCAGCAGCAGCCATTTTTCACCCTCCCTATCAGGAGGAGTTGTTACTTGAGAATAGTTGCATGCCTGCGGGGGAATTTTCCCCAATGTCTTCCCTGCCAGCCAACCTAATTTCACCTCCTATGCGGCCTGATGCTCTCAGCCGTCAGTTTTTGGGAAATGATGATAGCCGTCAATTGTTCGATGATGAGGTAGATCCAACGGATGAGATGTACTATCTGCTGCAAGGGTCAATTCCGCCTATGAAGCAAGGCCTTCAAGAGCTGTCACTGTGTCACACCACCAACCACATGGGACCTTCACCAGAATTTAGGGAGATAGGGGGGGTTGAGGAGGAGCAGAGCGCAGGTGGTGTGATGGTGGGCAATGGGGAGAATTTCTGTCATTATTTGCATTACGATGGGGAGGGAGGGCCGGTGCACGACGCTTCAGAGCCGAGGATGGCAGCGCCAATGGGGTCTGGGCTAGGCCCTGCTTTGACTGACTACTGTGCTGATGCTACTGGGTTTGATACGCAGCAGGATGTGATAGTGCTGCAGCAACTGTGGCAGCAGCAGCAGCAGCAGGAGCAGCAGAAGCAGCAGCAGCAGTGGCGGCGGCAGCAAGAGCAGGAGCAGGCGCAGCAGCAGCAGCAGCAGCAGCAGCAGCAGCAGCAGCAGCAACGGCAAGAGCAAGAGCAAGAGCAGCAGCAGCGGCGGCAGCAGGAGCAGAAACAGCAGCGGCGGCGGCAGCAGCAACAAGAGCAAGAGCAGCAGTCACAGCAGATGGAACAAGAACTGCTGTCGCTGACCGATTCCTTCATACAGAGCAACAACAGAGCAGCATGCACCAATACTGGTGTAATCCGCCCTGCCTCAGCCATGCTTGAGACCTTCTTTGCGAATCTCCCTGCCACCCTCCCTGCCACCCTCCCTGCCACCCTCCCTGCCACTCTCCCTGCCACCCTCCCTGCCTCTCTCCCTTCCACTCTCCCTTCCACCCTCCCTTCCACCCTCCCTTCCACTCTCCCTTCCACTCTCCCTCCCACTCTCCCTAACACTCCGCCTCCCACTCTCGCTCCCGCTTTCCCTCCCACTCCCCCTCTCACTCTCCCTGAAGCCCCCTTTCCTTTTCCACTTGACTCAACCATGTGGATCTCAGACCCTCTAGCAGCCACCGGCCCCGACACGCAGGTGAAATGGAAGAATTGGCTGCCTTCTGCCGTGGACGCACAGTTGCCTGCAATGAATTCCGAGTCAATCCTAAGGTACCCAGCTGTGAGTGCCTCAGAACCCCTAACAGCCACTACCAGCCTTGGTGCGCTCGTGAACCTTCGGAAGCGCCCGGCTTCTGCAATGGATTCACCACTGCTGGCTCCCCCTGCCCAAGCCTGTGCCCAAGCCACTGACCAAGCCTATGCACAAGCCACTGACCAAGCCTATGCACAAGCGGCCCAAGCATGTGACCAAGCCTATGCACAAGCCTGTGACCAAGGCTATGCACAAGCTTGTGCCCAAGCATGTGACCAAGCCTACGCACAAGCCTGTGACCAAGCCTATGTACAAGCCTGTGACCAAGCCTATGCACAATCTTGTGCCCAAGCCTGTGACCAAGCCTACGCACCAGCTTGTGCCCAAGCCTATGACCAAGCCCATGCACAAGCCTGTGACCAAGCCTGTGCTCGTGTGGACCCCGAGAGAATGGCTGCACCAGAGGAACTATCCCCATTGCCCACCACCGCACCACCACCAGTCTGCTCCTCCTCGACCAATCCCACGTCAGGAAATTCTGGTAGAAGGCCCACGTGGTTGGCACTGTTAACGGGAGTGGAGTGTTGGCCCCGCCCTCGCTTGGGCAACGCCGACGACTTGGTCGGTACGGGAGAAGCAGCCGACCGTTCACAGTGGGAGAGCTGCTCGACGGGCTTCGTCGAGCTGCAGGGGAGAGCTGTGGTGTTGCCATCGACCAGGAGTGTTCGACGGCCTTCTTCCGCGGGACAAGGGCCGAGGAGGTGGTGGTCGACGGCGGGAGTGTTGGATCTACCACGACCCCGACCATCTCTCCTACGAATGCCCCGAACGCGACGACAGCGACGAGGACGACAACAAGGGAAGCCACGGTCGATCGGCCAGTCGTCGCCCCCGTCGAGATGAGAAGCCGCGCAAGGAGAACCAGACGTCGAAGAAGACGTCGTCGACGAAGGACGTCGGCAACTCCAGCGGCAAGGGTCGAGGCGACGGGGAGGCGTCGTGCTCGATGGTCGGCGTGGTGGAGCCGACGGTCTCGCTGGCGCCAGAGGCTGGCGAGGACTTCCAGGCGGTGGCGGCAGCTGTGCAGGCCAACCCGATGGCAGTGCTGCTCGACAGCGGTTACTCTCACCACCTGATGGGGACGAAGGCGGTCTTCGTCGACATGGCGCTGAGCGACGGCGTGAAGCACGTGCGTGGATTCAACGGGGCATTGCAACCTGTCGAGGGTCGCGGAAATGTCGCTCTGCAAGGGGAGGCGGGGAAGCAGGTCCTCATCCCCAACGTGCTCTACGTTCCGGGGAGGTGCTCGGTCGAGCACGCTACACCGGACGAGTCCTCTGCACCGACCTTCGCCCCTGCTCGACGCGGTCGCCGTCGACCGAGGTGGTGGCTCTGCGGACGATCTTCTCGGCGACGAAGTCGACCCCTGACCGGTTGCATGCTAGGCTCGCGCACGTCGGCGTCGACACGATCAAGAGCTCGGCGAAGCATGAAGTTGCTACTGGGCTCGCCATCACGCCGTCGACCGGTGCAGACCCGCCGTGTGTCTCGTGCGTCGGAGGAAAGCTGGCGCGGCACACCTTCCCCGACAAGGGCTCGGACGCCGAGGAGGCATTGGCTGTCGTGCACATTGATTTGTGCGGGCCATTTCGGGTGGCTGCCAAGGATGGCAGCTTGTACTTCCTGCTGCTGAAGGATCGCCACACTCGGTTCGTGTGGGTAATGCCGGTAGCTAAGTAGAGCCGTCGAAAGGAGCTCGACAGGAGGTCCGTCGACCAGGGGGTAGCTCGACAGGAGCTGTGGTCGACCAGAGGCACCTGGTGGTCGACCAGAGGCAGTGGTGGTCGACCAGAGAGAGCACTTGGTGGTCGACCAAGTCGACCGAGTAACCTGCTCGACGAGTTCTGCGGAGGCACGCGAACGTCGTCGAGGTCGCGATGGCGAAGGCGACTTCGGGCTGGTATCCCAAAGTCGATGTGGCTCGTCAGGCGCAGACAACAGCCGGCGGATGCACAACGGTGCAAGTCGGGCCAATCGTCTGCGCACACCTGCGAGCGTGCGCACTGCTGTCTTCTACGAGACAACGCTGGACAGCCGCTCCGGCGCAGCGTTGGCACGCCGTCGACCTGCAGTGTTGGCAGGTCGCCTTTCTGCAGTGCTAGCGCGGCTCCTCTACGCAACGCTAGCAGGCGGTCGACCATGCTGTGCTGTCGGACGACCAGGCTAGCTGCAGGGTTGCTAGGTGCCTGATGTAGTCATTTCTGTCATTGCTTGTTCAATCATTCTGTAATTTCGACTTTGCCTAGTCGAAACTTTTGCCGATTTCTCCCGTGAATGTGCAAGCACTGAGGAACTAAGCAAAGCTACGATCACTCCTAGTAGTTCGTGCCAACCCCCGCAGTCTAGCTCACTACCGTTGTAGAGTATCTCTCCGCAGGCACTGGAACGCAGTGACAGCTCTCGGGGATCTTGAAGGTCTTGATTCGGAGGCGATATTGCTCCCAGAGAGGAGTAAATCTCGTCCTTTGAATCGTCCTCCCGGCTACACAATCGGCGGCTGTCGTCTTCCCCGCATCAACAGTATCAACATTGTTGGGGACAGTGTAGCAACCACTAACGGGGATAATCCCAGCCAGACGCGGAGGAGATGCCTGGAGGCGGGTAGGCGGGAGAGACACTAGGGGGATGTCCCACACACGCAGGGGATTACTTTCGGGTGGCTGCTCCTGCTGGCAGGGAGAGTGCATGAGGGCTGTCATGGTCCAATCTGCATCTGCATCAGCAGCATCACCGATGCCACCACCATGGTGAGCAGAAGAATCAACATCAGCATGTGCACCAGCACCAGTATCGATACCACCATCCTCAGCAGCAGCAGCAGCAGCAGCAGCAGCAGCACAACCAGCATTGAAAGAACGGCCTGTAGCAGCACTCATGCCCTCATGCTGTAATGCCGGCACCAGGGCATTCAGAGGCCCACCAAAATCAGCACCCGGGGAATTCAGAGCTGCATTGGAGCGAGCAGCCGCGGAGTTCAGGGCTGCATCAAAACGAACAGCCGGGGAGTTGAGACTCTCATCGGAGTCAACAACTTGAACAGCGTTGGACGCAGTGAAGCCAACCCCACCGTGTAAAGCCAACCCCACCGTATGGTGGCTTATGGGTCTGTCGAGATTCCGATAAGTAGGCCGCTTGGTAGGGCCGTTAATGGGGACGATAGGGTGGTTGGACGGGCGGCGGATGGGAGGCGCGGGGTGGTTGTGAAGGCGGCAGCGGTAGGTGACTTGGATGGCGTCGGGGGAGAGTGGCTCCGAGCCATAGCTGCAGTTGATGTCAACTGTCTTCTTGGCCGGGCAGCGCGGGATGGTTTTGCCACGACTGCACCTGTAGTAGCACCTAGTGAGATGGAGGGGGGGAGAGGGGAGGAAGGGGATAGGGGGAGTGAGACCGGGGGGAGATGATGGATTCAGCAGCACAGCTCGGGGAAAAACGGTGAATTCCGCAGAGCAAAGGGGACAGAGGAAAATGGAGCAAAGGGGAGCATAATCCGCAGAGAGCTGACGGCTAGCCGACTCGTGTTCAGAAATCTGACGGCTAGCCGTCTCATGCTCAGAAAGCTGACGGCTAGCCGTTTCCTGCTGAAAACTTCTCGCCAAGTCACTCCGACTCGATTGATGCAGCCTCGTGCCTTGCTCAGAGGCAATCGCCATCATAATAACAGTGCTGGCTGTGGTTGTTCCGGGAACTGCCGGTTAGTTCGTAGGCGGGAGAAGTTGACGTTGAAAGCCACCTTGGAGGCTCAGCCTCCACACTGAGGCCAGGAGTAGGACTAGCAGTGGTGCCACTTAGTTTTGATAGAATAATTTTCAGAATCCGGGAAAATCGTGTGGAGTGAAAAACGTGACTGTCCTAGCTGTACTAAACGAATAACTGGTGTAGCCTCGCGCATTCCCCCCTCGAACGGCCTGTGGACGGTCATTGTTGATAAGGAAGGCCCCGCGACTTGCACATGCTGCCTGGCCTGGACCATGGATCAATGGATCATGGAGCAGAATCCCACTCACCGCCGACGAACGAGTGTCATCTAATCGGCAGCAGCAGAGCTAGCGGTGAGCACGCATGTGAGATAATCTCCGAGTTCAGACAAAAAGGTCGGTGGCCAGCCGGACTTGACGAGTGGCGCGCCACGCCGCGCGTGGCCAGCAGCCTTGTGGGTGCAAGAGTTTGTCGGATAGGTGACAGCATGTCTTGTGAATCGTGTCGTGACTCGCTCGAGACGTGAAGCCATTTCCTGCACGTGACTGCTGACAGGGGCTGAGCTCAGATGCGTGTTTGGGGGGGAGAAGGGCGATTGGAGGGTGTCTCCTCGGGGTATGAAAACGAGAGGGTGGAGGGGGGGGGAAAGGGGGGGGGGGGGGGGGGGGGGGGAGGGGGGGGGGGAGGGGGGGGGGAAGGAGGGGTGGGGGGGGTGGCGGGAGAATAGGAAGAGGGAAATGGAGAGAATGGACCCTTTCCTCCAGAGGGCAACTCAGCTCACCTGTCGCTAGATACGTACAACAGTCGCTCCGTAATTTTCCTTTTACGGTGCCAGTCACCATGAATTTCGAGGTCACCACGATGGTTTTCGTGACGCGCTGGGTTGAAAGCTGCTTAGGAGTTCCTCCCCTTCAAAATCTAGTACTCTACAGAAATTCATGATGGAATGGTCCAGGCTGCAAACAATCTGGTCCTGTTCGACAGGCAGCCACCTCCTTGCAGGGCTAGTGTTAGGCTAGTGTTCAGGGGAGTTTTCAGAGTAACTTCCCCTAGGCTAACCCCCTCCCCCCCCCCCACCCGACGAAGTCGGAACCAGCGCCTCCCGAGATCGGAAGGAGGGGGTCGTCAGGGGGATGTTGCAACCCCTCCTTCCACCATCTTCATCGTGGGCAGGGTGCAAAAGTTTGCACCGCATGCCATGGTAACCTGGGTAAAAATCAGGGGAAAACAAAAAACCCACACAGCCATCACGCGGACGGGGACGGGGATTTTTCAGGGCAGAGATGGGAATGGTTGGAGCATGGGTACGGGTGGGAAAACTTTCGTGGGGTATGGGGTGGGTATCCCCTCCCATATGGAACCCTAGCCTATCCCTTGGCCAACCTCCATTTTGGGGATGCGA